GTCCGAAACTTGCAGGCTTAGTTGGTTATGGCCCTGTTTAGTTTCACTTCATTTTGCCAAATTTTTCGAGATTCTCCGTCACATCAAATTTTTGGACGCATGCATGAAGCATTAAATATAAATAAAAAATAAAACTAATTACACAGTTTAGACGAAATCCACGAGACGAATCTTTTAAGCCTAATTAGACTATAATTGGACACTAATTGCCAAATAACAATGAAAAACGCTACAGTTGCATTTTGCAAAAAAAATCAGATCTAAACTAGGCCTATGTTATGTCGAACTTATGTCAAACCAATAAAAATTTTATGTGGCAGCTTGTCAATTTGCTCACGGACTGTATTTATTTGCTTCATATTCGTTTCAGTGCGTCGCGACAGCACTGTCGCCGAAATTAAGTAACAACTAGTTCGGGAACCGGTAGTCCCGGCGTATTTCGACGCCGATGGCCGGCATCTTGACCCCGATCCTCCCGAGCTTGATCATCGCCGCCACGAAATCGTCGAAGAAGGCACCCTGATTAGACGCGCAGTAGTCGACCGTGCTGCGTGACCCCATGTCGGATTAGAACACCTGGTCAGAGCCCACCAGGAAGGGGTCGAGGAAGCCGGGGTCCATGGTTCATGATCACGTCGCTGCCGATCCTCAACCAAAAGCAGCACGATCTTCTGTCTGCGCCCGGGTCCTGCCGCGCCATGCGCCGTGGCGCGTCAGTGCCGCGCCAAAATCGGTGGCGTGGCAGACCCTGCACGTCACCGGTCAACGGCCCCGGTCTTCGCCACGTTATCCTCCTGCCGTGCCACCATGCATGGCGCAACACAGACATTTCGCCGCGCCATGACAATAGGCGCGGCCAAAAGTGTTAGTTTTTAAAAAAAACAGTGTTAGATTTAAAAATATTTTACAAAAAGTGTTAAAATTAAAAAGAAGAACGACTCTGCTTTTCTTTTTCGTGGCGTGCGGTGCTTTTGCTCCTCTGAATATCTGATTCACTTTTTTCTTTTTGTGGGTTATAAGGTGAGGTGAGGTGAGGAACGAACAGAACGTGTCAAGCCCCGGTTGGCTAGAAAACGTGGTGGATTCTTACTCGTTGTGATGATTTATCTGGGTTTTCGTTATTACTCCCTCCATCATCTTTCGTGGAGGGAGTAACCATGATCCATGAAGTGGTTTTAGATTCGTTCAAATTTTTACCAAGAGTAGCAAATTTGCTCACGTTGCAATTAGACATACAACTTTGTTTGCATGCAGTGACGCGCGCGTGTGTGTGTGGGTGGGGGGTGGGGTAATTCAGTATTGCCCTAACACAAGTGTAAAGTGGTCGCTAATTATAGGTTCAGACAGAGCAACTGCTGATGCAAGCAAGTAGAGCTAACAAAGAGTAAAGACAAAAGAATACTCCCTCCGTCCTAAAATACAAAATATTTTTTACTTTGAAACATCTCGTTTGATTGTTCGTCTTATTCAAAAATTTTATATAAATATTATTTCTTTTGATATGACTTATTTTATCATTAGAGAACTTTTATAATGACTTATTTATGTTGTCATTTGCAAAAAAAAAATTGAATAAAACAAATGGTCAAACATAATATCTAAAAGTTAAAAGCGTCATCTATTTTGAGACGAGGAAGTAGGCAATTTGTTATAGGGCACTCTTCAGTGATGATATTTGTTGATGGACACTACTCAATGTTGTCTTTACTAGAAGACACTTTTCTATTATTGTAATTGACTCCAAGACACTATGGTCATTAAATAATGTTATCTATGAGTATATGGGAGAGAGAAGTTAAAAGTGATAAAAATACTCTCGACTATTACTAGTACAATCGATAATAGTTATCTAAAAGTTCATAACTTTTCATATGAAGTCGGATGAAAACAAAATTCATATCAAAACTGGAGCTCAATGATATCTTCATCAACCATGTAGTTGATAAGTTTTCTATTTGAAACTATTCAGATTGTCAAAACTTTCTTTTAAATTAATAGATTTTAAATCTAAAAATTTAAAATTATATAATGACTTCAGATGTTGACACTGTATATAGAAAAGTTATAGTTATCGGTATGATCTATAGTTTTATAGTTGATACATTTTTTTATCTGAAGTCATTCATAGTCCTAAATATTTATTTTAGTTTCTTAGATTTCAAAATTCAAAGTTTAGAAATTTCAAATGACTTCGAACATTGATACGATCTATCTCGTAGACATTTGAAAATTTTAAATTTCAAATTTATATAAAATAATAAAATTAATATGTTAGATTCTAAACGACTTTGGATTTTCTAAATTTTGAATTTGAAAAACTAAGAATTTTAAAACAACCTTTTCTACTCTAAATATTTTTTTATAAAAAACCTGTCGACTACAAAGTTGTTGATCTTACTAAGCACTACAATTTCGATATAGACTTCATCTCCATGCACTTCATATGCAAAAGTTATGATTTTTTTAAGATAACTCTTAGGTCCTGTTTGGATCCTGGAACTAAAAGTCATTCTAGAAATCAGATTCTTGCAATCAAATTCAGCAAGAAATTAATTACTCAGAATTTGTTTCAATTCGATTTTTTGTTTGGTTCCACGTGGAATCCAAATTCAGCAAGATCCTACTGAATGCCAGACAACGCATGATTGATGTCCACTGTTGACGCGATGTCCACGAGCCCAGGATCAGCGAAAGACTTGATCAGTACATGGGCCTTGTTTAAATACACTCAAAATTTCAAGTTTTTTCACTCTCTCTCCGTCACATCAATTTTTAGCCGTTTGCATGGAGCATTAAATGTAGGTAAAAAAAATAACTAATTGCACAGTTTAGTTGGAAATCACGAGATGAATCTTTTGAGCTTAGTTAGTCTACGATTAGATAATATTTACCAAATAAGACGAAAGTACTACTATTTATCGGGTTGAAATTTTTTTCAATCTAAACAAGGCCATGGACAATCAAACGGCCAACAACAAAGGGGCAGGTGCATGCCAAGATCAGATCAATCGCCGCCGCCGCACGTAGGAGGTGCTGTAGGATAATCCTGTGGCCGCTACTAGTACTAGCTCAGAGCGCAATTCAGCACTGCCACGGGAGCCCGAAGCTGCAGTACTAGTGTAGTGGACGACAAACAGTGGACGACTGGAGCACCCACCCACGGACCCACCGTCCTTTGTTTCTTTTGTTCGCTTTCCCCTGCCCGGATTCCCCCGAGATCGCTGTCGGCCTGTGGCGCCTCTGCCACTTGGCCCCTACTACGAGGTTGGAGGGCTCAGGTCTCGGCCCGGCGCCTCGTGACTTGAGATTGAGAGCCAAGAAAAGAAGCTCTGGCCAGCAGTTCGGCGTGCGCAGATGCCTGCCGGTCACGGTCGCGTTGGGGTGGTGGTATCTGACCGTCTGTCAACGAAGCACGTGTTCATTGAAATTTTTGAACATGCCTGCGGCTGCTGAGATGAGAGCCAAGGTCGCCCCATGATTCGGAGCCCAAAGGCGCGGGTGGTGGCTCGCCATCATGAGACGAGCCGAGGGGCGGCGTGGCAGAAACCAAGCAATTAGGCCCTGTTTAGTCAAGCCAAAGTTTGATGTGAATCTTCTTTTTTCAGATAAATAGTGTCAAATTTGGAAATTTGGTGGAACTAGGCTGTGTTTAGTTGTAGGAAGTTGGAATTTTCAGAAGACGCTCGTTTTTTTTATTTGGCAAATAGTGTTCAAACATGGATTAATTAGGCTCAAACGTTAGTCTCGCAATTTCCCACCAAAAAAATTAGTTTTTTTTCGTCTACATTTAATGCTCCATGCATGGATCGCAAATATTCGATGTGATAGGTACTGTAGCACTTTTTGAAATTTTGGCTTCAAACTAAACACGCGCTAAACAAGCCCAAGAAAAAAGCTCTGGCCAGCAGTTCGGCGTGCGCAGATGCCTGCCGGTCACGGTCGCGTTGGGGTGGTGGTATCTGACCGTCTGTCAACGAAGCACGTGTTCATTGAACTTGAACATGCCTGCGGCTGCGGATCCCCGTCCCCCCATGATTCGGAGCCCAAAGGCGCGGGTGGTGGCTCGCCATCATGAGACGAGCCGAGGGGCGGCGTGGCAGAATCCAAGCTTAGTCACGAGGCAATCCATTTGCAATGTTTCTTTTCTTTCCTTGTGTGTTTGTTTGTGTTTTCCTTTTCTGAGAGAAGAGTTTCATTTTCTCTTCTGTGGTGGAGCGTGGGACTGCAGACTTGTCGTCGTGCCCGGTGACTGACTGGAGTCTGACGCTGGCAGTCCTGGTCCTTCCAACCTGTTCTCTGGACTGCAGTTTTGGTGCTAGCGTCGAGCTGCACGCCTGCACCTGCATCTGCATGCATCGGCCATCGGAGTCACATGCTCACGCAGGTGCAGCCACGCTCCGCTATATTGCCTCGTCGCTATAGTACGTGCCATTTGGTTGGTACGTGCGTCATTGCAGCGACGTAAGCCAAGATTTACAACTTACGTCATCGCGATGAAAGAGCCTGCGGCACAGCACGATGCACATCGTTCGATATACGGAATGTTCCAATCCAGGCTGTGCTCATGTTCACAAGAGCCACTGTGTCGGTCAACAATCACGTTCTAGATCAGAACTATAGTACGAGAGCCAAGAACTCGACATCAGCACCTGCCAATAAGCAATACAATACCCCTGCACTCTTTCTAATGCATAAAACCACACATGTATCCACTTGAAAGCGATAAGCCGAGATGATCGAGCTACAGACTAGACGACTAGTCGTCGACTGAGGTTCCTCTCAGTGTTTTTAAGGTTTTTCCCTTATTATACTTCTATCTAGGAGCAAAAGACAAAAACATTGTGTTAAAGAAATGACATTTTGCCTACCTGTAGCATATAAGATTAGTGGTTAGCACCTTGCCTTTGCAGCTCATTCTCATACGGTCACACTCACACCCAAACCGAGGTGCCGGCCTCTCGCCAGCGTTCCAAGCTGTGTGCGAGCGAGAGCGCGGCGCCATGGACGGCCAGAGAAAGAAGCCCCACGGCAACCCGAACATCCGGAGGGGCAGCATCCTCAAAGAGATCGTGAAAGACTTCATCGGAGGGAGCACCAAGAACCCTGGTGGTGATGGTAGTGACGGCGGCGGCGGCGGCGGCAACGACGGCGACAACAACGGCAAGAGGGGCAGTGGAGATGCTGCCGGCGCCGCCGACGCTGCTGGCTGACCCATGATGGTACGTGCTTGTTGCTTAGTAAGCTGGCCTGGTGTCTTTCTGCTAGGCTGCCGGTTTCCTGGATCCTTTCGATCCGTATGCAATGTTGTGTAGGATATGTGCATGTGATGTTGGTGGTGGAAATATGGAGTAGTTGATCGGCGATCGAGGGGTTCTTTCCTCTGGTTCTGTAACCTGTGTGTGTGTGTGTGTGTGTGTGTGTGTGTGTGTGTGTGTGTGTGTGTGTGTGTGTGTGTTGTGTTGTGCAATAATTCTTGGTTGGCTGACAGGGACGCACTCTGCTGGATCTATGAATGAATGCTCAATTTTGTTGCACCGTGTGATCTTCTCTTTCTTGTTCTTGTTGTCTGTAATGCTCGTTCGGTTCAGTATCTCCCTAGCTAGTTCCAGTTCTGCGCGCGATAGATGGCTGTACCGACCAGTGGCAGTGTTCCTCGATCCATCTTCCTAGCAGCAGTTGAGCATCTCCGACCCTATGTAGCTCCAGTTTGGCAGCATCATTGCGAGAGATAGTAGGTTTATACTAGCAAGATTATTGCCGACTCGTGTGGACTAGTCTTTTTGCATTCCTAAATCCTGAGCACCGCTGACTCCGATCCCCCATCACAGGCATCACCTTCAATGCAGATGAGGGTACTCCACTTCCGCCACGATGATTTCACACATTTCTTCGCTAGATTACAGACCATCCCAAACAAATTAAAACACACCAACGCCCAACAGATGATCTGACAAAGCTTCGTTTTCCGTCTGCATCTTAGTGGACGCGCGAGCTCACCTACGTCACTCGCTAATGACGCCTGTGCCCTAACACAAACATAAGAGGAAATACTTAGAAGAGGTGATTATACCTTTTTCTAAAGAGATCAGTCCAGGGCCCAACTTGCGCTGCCTGAAGGCCTGAGCTGAGTGTGAACCTTGGCTGGTGCGAGACAGCGAGAGGCACGTACACTCAGCGCACAGCCCTGTGTCCTCCGTAGTCCGTTCTCCGTTGTCTCGGAACGAAGAAGAAATTCATTTCCTTGTCCTTGATTCCTTCCCGAAGGAATGCCCGGTCGGTGCCAGACTGCTTTCCATTATCGTACACACGTCCTGTACCGTATGTGACGTGAGCTATGTCATCGTCAGTGATCGACAGAAGTTGCTCGCGGCTGTGTTTGATTCCTCCCGCTAAACTTTCACGTCACATCGGATGTTTAACGTATAGACAGAGTATTAAATATAGATTAATTATCAAACTAAATATATAGATTAAGACTAATTTGCGAGACGATTTTTTAAGCCTAATTATTCTAATTAGTTCATGATTTGACAATGTGGCGCTACAGTAAACATATATCAATGATGGATTAATTAGGCTTAATAAATTCGTCTCGCGAATTACTGACGGATTCTGTAATTTATTTTTTATTAGTATCCGAACAGCTCATGTGACATCCGATACGACATCTCTTAAACTTTAGCCTCTACATCAAACACCCCCATACTTCAGAGTGCATAGGCAACAAAATATGTACGGAATTGTGCTACACAACCAGGCAATAAGCACGGTACCACAACCACCATTTGATTGGGATCATCGCTTTCTTTTGTACTTGTCGGTGCGAAATGTGGCCAACAAATAAATATTTATAGTTTTACCACACGTTGTGATCGGATGTGGCCTAGCACTTAATGACATACATCATGTTCTCTTGCTCGTAAACGATCGTAAATTTCCAGCCAGAACAATATTTTTCTCTCATACCAAACCAGTCAGCAGTAAATAATCTACGATCGTTTACGGCCTCCTGAATAGGCTGATAGGATTTATACTGGTTCAGGCAATGGGCCCTACGTCCAGTTGAGGTCGGTTGATGACTTTATTCCTGAGCCTAGGTGCTCGAAGTTTGCTGTGAGGTTACAAACGAGTGAGGAATGAAGTGGGGGTGTAAAAGGCCTGGTCGGACTCTAGTCCGAGTGGAAGAGAGTGACGGGGGCTCAAACGTATGCTAAGTGTCGGAGCGTGTGCTTTGTGTGCGTCTCTATGTGCCTGAGCTTGCGAGTTGTTGAGACTGTTGAGACCATGTTCGATAGCCCATGTAACCGTCGAGTCATCGAGTCATCGAGTCCTCGAGTCCTCGGGTCCCCGGGTCCTCGTCTTTTAGGAGAGAGCTCATCCTCTTTTATATTTGAAGGGGATGGCCTTACAAGTCAGAGAGAAAGAGAGAGAGTGTATACGGGCGCTGCTTAGTCTTGTTGCCTATGCCATCGGGTACGGGATGGCCGCCGTCGCCCGCCATACTGTTTACGTCGCCATCGCCCACCTTACTGTTCATGCTCTGTTGTATCTAACGCGATCTGGCAGGCTGTACAGTGTCCGTCTGACATGGCCCGACGGCATCGTCCTACAGGTGTGCAGGGCATGACAGGGTACGGTCCTCGGTATTGCGGTTGACTTGAGCGCTTTACCTTATCTGCTCTGCCTGCTCCCCGGGCCCACACCGAGCGGGCGTCCCTGGTCGGTCATTCCCAGTCGGCCCCGATCGTGTCGATTGGGTAAGAGCAACGAGTAGAGGTGCGGCGTATCCTCGATCAGAGAAAAGAGGTCAGAGTCGGACTATGGTCCCACCACGGCCAGGCCTTCCGGTCAGGGCTCCGACCAGATCTCCTGGCCGGAGGTGCCAGTCGGGGATCAGATCGTGGTCTTGGCCTATTATTGTGTATCTGGGCCGACCCAGGCGGCATGCTGTCGCTACGCCACCTGCTGGGCCGAGTTTTGTAGGGAAGCGGGTCCATTGGAGACCCTGGGTTTATGAACCCGACAGGAGCCCTGAGCCCCTTTGGGACTTCTGTGAAGCCGTGAAGGGGCTATTCGCACACGCTTTGCGTGATATTATAAAAGCCAGGGGCTTGTGTTTTTAGCTTAATGAAAGCTTGTATTTGCTTTGTAATTCCTATGCCCATTATGCCATGGAGGTGGGCTGTTGTTGGAACTTCGGTGTTTTCCCCCTTAGTTTGTTGTACTACGAGGGGTGGCGAGAGTAGGATTTAGGCGCGTGGTCGCTGAGGCACGCATAGTGGATACGGGCGCCCAGCCTCTATGAGGAGGACTGGCAAAGGCCGTGGAGGGCCAAGGGATATTGGTACGAGGAGGGTCTTTTTTGCGAGACATAGGCGCCCGGCCTCCGAGGGGACTGCGGACATTTTTGTGTCGGGTCTCTTCCGGTGGGTGTGGCCCCTGGGCCTGTGGTCGACTAGGGAGTCGGTCAGAGGCTGAGCACCTTGGTACTCTTTTTTGGGGCTGCGGACTCTTGTGTCTCTTCCGGTCGGGGTGTTCGCCCGTGTCCGTTTCGACCGCAACCTGTGCGGTCGGTCGGCTTCCTGAGTCGGGATCTGGTGGCTCGAGCCCCCGAGCCACTAGGGGCCGGTCGGGGTCGGTCACATGATTTTTTGTGTCACCCCGTTCATGGTTTCCGCAACCGGAGGGGTGGGGCTAACGCCACTTGCCTCGATGGCTCGAGTGGTGGGCTTAGATGACCTCACTAACCGGCATGTCCGAGTGGAATCTGGGTCCGTCGTTCGTGATAGGGTCAGCATAGCCCTCATGTGGCACTCCACTTCTCCTTAACCCGCCTCCCAACAGATGCCCGAGTCATTCCGGAGAGCGACTCAGGTGGCTCGATGGCCTCCTCGATGGAGATTCTGTGGGAACAACTCGAGGTCAGGATCGAACGAGAAGATTGAGATGACCCGATCTGCTCTTGAGCGGATCAAGCGAGGGCCACTGGGGCTCATCTATGTTTTCTCCCCTGGCTCTGTTTGATGTGAGGTGGCCTCGAGCCCTTCGTGGGTCGGCCTTCGAACCCCAATCGGTTGTTGCTCATATCGAATGAGATGACTACCGCTTCGTGACGCGACGTGAAGCGTTTCGATGCAATGATTGCATATGCAATGATTGCATATACAATGATTTGGATGTATGAATGCATGCATGAGAATGAATGTTTATGTACTAGAAAAGTAAAATGGGGGTTGGTAAAGTTACCTCGATGGCTCGAGTGACGGGTTTGGGGAGCTCCTATCAGATATGTCCGAGTGGAATCCGAGTCCATTGTTCATGACAAAGTCAGCATAACCCACATGGGGCATCCCACTGCTCCTTACCTGTCTCTCGGCCCGTCCGAGCCGTCCGATTGACTCGGGTGACCCGTTGGCCTCTCCTCGATGGAGATTCCATCGGTAGGCCCCTCCAAACCCTACCTGGGAAGGCAGAGGGTCATTTGCGTGTGGTTGCATCTCGTTTCCCATGTCCGGGTTGCGGTAGTATTGGGCCCCACCCAGGCCACGTCCCGCCAGCCAGGCAACGTCCCGTCGGGCAGGCCGCGTCCTGTCAGCCAGGGCCACCTCCTGCCACACGCCTTTCCGCATTATATAGGGGGAAGGGAGAGGGTTTTCCTCCCATTCTTTCACCTTTCTTCAACCGCTACCGTTTCTCCTTCCTTCTTTTTGCCAAGCCTATTCGTGTGCCACGGTGATTTCTAGGAGAGAGGAGGGCATAGCGAGGAAGAGGATAAACTCACAGATTCGTTCGTAAATCTGAGGTGCGATGTCGAACTGGAGGCCTTCCAACGTCGATGAGGCCATGCTGGCCAACTTCACCACGAAGGGGCTGCTTCCATCGAAGGAGGTGGTGCACTGGAGGGCTCCCGCGCTAGGGGAGGTTGTTCCGCGAACCCAGGCCGATGAGGTCACCTCCTTCCTCACCTTCCACGAGCGTGGGCTCGGGTACCCCGCACATTGGTTCCTGCGTGGTCTCCTCAACGAGTAGGGCTTGGAGTTGTAGCACCTCAACCCAACTAGGGTGCTGCACATCACCGGCTTTGTCACCATCTGTGAAGCCTTCCTCAGGATGGAGCCGCATGTGGATCTATTTCGGCGAGTCTTCATCGACCAAGCCCTATTTGAGGGGTTTGCCCTACAAAAGAGGCCAAACCCGTCGGTCCCCTACC